TTATTTTAGAACTTTCTTTTGGGGGAAAGAAAGTCAATCTTAGGGCTGCGTCCACAGTTTTTGTTTTCCAGCGGGCATTTATGAAATCTGGGTTAGGTTGTGTTCATTGGAGTCAGAACTTTAGAGAGCATCAGAGTTGTTATTTGAGAGAAGCTGACACAACCTGCTGCTTTCAACCCCAGAGTCAGACAGCCGCTGCCTCGGTTGCAATCATGTCCGTTGATGTTGGACATGTTATGTTTTTTCCTCTCTTTTCCACGCGTCCTCGTCTGTAAAACAGGGTTGCACGTAGTACCTGCCTCTTAAGGTTGCGGTTATGGTTAAATGGGTTAGTGTATGGAAAATATTAAAACAGTGCCTAGCCTGGTAAGCACTAAATAAATATTAAATATTCTCACTATAATTATAACTGACCAGATTTAACTAAACATGTGTCCCATGCTTCATGAAACTGATTTAACTGAGTATTAAACTGACTTATTTGTTTGAATTTACTGACCAAAATGAACTCATTATTTAAATACTAAAGGTAGAGGCTGTGAACGTAGTGATCATTTGTTTCAAGGTAGTTCAGAATGTTCTAATCAGTCATTTACTGAATATATCAAATGTGACTTTGGGTTATGGTGGCCCATTTTAAAGTGGAAGGATTTAGAATCTTGAGAATTTAGTGTGTTTTGTATAAACAAAGTAACCCACTTCAAAAGAACTGTGAAAATGCTAAGGCTTTGAAGCAAGATAGAGAAGATTGTGCTTCCTTATTTCTCTGGATGAAATTAGTTTGTTTTGGCCAATATTTTGAGGAATGTTGACTCTAAGTTTATACTGTGTTTTAATTTGCCGTCTTTATTTAGAAGTTATTATTATTGTTTAAAAATAGCTATGTCTCATGGCTCCTGTGGCATCTATCTAATTTTGGCTAAATGCTTGCTTTGACTGTTGCTGATTCACGATCGCGACTGTGGAAGAGATAGTGTCAAAGCTTCTAAAAAACGGGAATTTTGGTGGTGAGTTCAGAGTGTGATCAGCTTCAGGATGATTTCGTTGGAAAGCTGTGTATTGATGTGTGAAGACAAAGACTACAATTTAAGTAAGTTAATGAGACAAAGTGGTGTTTGGAGAGAAAACAAGAGAACTATATAATTTTGTGAGAAATTTGGGAGATCTTTGGCCAAGATACGAAGGCCATCAGACATGGATACAGGACAGAGTTCGAATATGGGTCAAACAATTCCTGGCTTTGACCAGAGAATGCATTTTTATTTTGAGTTACTAGCAATTGAAAGTTTAACAGCTCTACCATTTATAACTTTAAAATTTTAGGGCTTTTTAGAAAGCTTTTGCATCTTTGGGGGGTCCTCTGTTGGATGGTAAGTTCTATCAGGGAGTAGAACACGTTCAACATCCAGCCTGGCACCCATTGGGCACTTGAATCACTCTGGAAGAATTAATAACTGAATGCTCATGTAGGAGCTGTTGAAAACCTGGGAAGTGCTCAGGTCAGGTAAATGCAAATAAAGCAGAAAATATTACACAGTCTCTTGAAAAATATAGACAATTACTGAATCAACATGGTGATTAGTTGTTGTTTGTTTCTACCTAGGGGAAAAAAAGAAAGAGTAAATTGACCCAAGAGGGATCAGAGTTCAAAGTAACGTTTTATTAAAAGTAACTGCTATGAATATTAGAGTACATAAGAGAAATCGTGGCGTATTTGAAGGACTCTTTCCTGATAGGATAGATTTTCAAGTTTAAAGTTATTCGACTAGGGGCATCTTTTTTGTAATTTTAAAGGCCCTCCTATTGCCACTCCCTATGCTTGCTGCTTTGGCTTCATTATTTCAAAAGGTCCCTGGAAAGTTTTTAAGAGAATTAATGGGTTAGATACTTTAAGAATGATTTTAAAGTCTGAAATGGCTTTTTGTTTTTTGTAATTTCTCTCTTTCCGTTCCTCTCCCCCTCCCCCAACTGAGATTCTCCCTTTGTAAACATCTAAAATTGCTTTCCACTGTGGAATTCAAAGAAAGGATTGTTGCTTTTCACAAGAATATAGGATGTGTACAGTCTACTTCTTCCTAGAAGAGGTGGAGTTCTTCTAATTTGTTCTGCTTCCCAGCTAAGTACTAAGGGGTTGGGGAAAACCTGGGAGATTTGGTCACCCTTCTAATTGCCCTGATAATGCAAGCAGTGTGGAAGCCTGTGATGCAGAGATGCTTTCTGCAGTGTGTGGGAAGAAGTTTATAGTCATCGTTTAATTCCTCACAGGAAGTACATATTTTTGTGGCTGTTTTATCTGAATGACATGTTCCAGGTAAAAGGTGCAGAGAGATGGTAAATGTAAGGCTTCGTAGCAAGTCTGAACATAGTGGGAGAGTTTCAAATTTCTTCCTGATTGTGGAGGAAATTGGGCAATGTGTGGAAGTGAGGATTTTTTTTTTTTTTTGAGACAGAATCTCACCGTGTCACCTAGGCTGTAGTGCAGTGGCATCATCATAGCTCACTGCAACCTCGAACTCCTGGACTCAACGATCCTCCTGCCTCAGCCCCCCAAGTAGCTGGAACTATAGGCACATGCCACCACACCTGGCTGATTTTTCTATTTTTTTTGTAGCAGTGAGGTCTTGGTCTTGCTCAAGCTGGTCTCGAACTCCTGGCTTAAGGGATCGTCCCCCCTTGGCCTCCCGAAGTGCTAGGATTACAGATGTGAGCCACAACACCTGGCCCGGAAGTGAGGATTCTAACCTATGTGACAAGCACCATGGCAACACATCCTATAACTTTACAAATGACAGAAAAACCCTGTGTTTCTCTTGTTTTATCCTGCCTTTCTTTAAAGAGTCTTGTCAGGCTATCTAGGATCATGAATATCTTAGCCAAGAAATGTTGATGGAGGAAAAAGCATATTCTTATGGAGAAGAAAAATATGATTCCAAAATAGAATGGTTCATTTTCCTTTTATTAATATTTATTCAGTTGTGAAGACAAATAGGCATTGGATACATTCAAGCATGGAATATTTTAATACATAATTCATAAATGGCTTAGGGATCTGCCAGTTGGGAAGCCAGCTTTTTCTTGAAGACTTTCTGTCATGGGGTGGCACATTGGACTGGGGAGCCTCTTCCAACTTTGACTCTTTCCCTTTGTTAGAAAACTCTATATTGACTTGTAATATTGTTCATATCATTTCCATTTCCCTATGATGGTTTTGCCTTCTGGAGATAAAAACATTAAGTTTAGTACCATTTTAATGGCAGCTTTCATGTATTTCTTTTTTTAAAATAAACAGACCATGTTTTACCCATGTCCTATTTTCTTACTAAACATCCACGGTAACTTCATTCAATATAAAATGTTTTCCAAGCTGTCTTTGGTAAAGACTTCAACTGACATTGTGAAACAGAATAGACGTAATGTTCTGGGATGTGGACTGAGCAGTGCTTCCATTGATAGGCTAGACAGCAGATGCATTAATTGTTTGGTAGCCAATCACACTTTTGCTATTATTTAACTATGTACTATTCATGTCAGCATGTGTTATACCATTTGACCTGGAACTCTTAATTATTTTATTCACTTTAAAAATCATATTTATACGCTGCATTGGTGAATATAGATTCATAGAATTCCAGACAGTGGAATTGCTTTCTGGATCAGACCCTCCCCTGATCGTATGTCTAGTAGCAATGAGATGTTTCTTGCCAATGAAGAATTGTCTGATATGCTCCCCTTCCTGCACACACGAACACTGCTCCACAAATATTTACTGATTATCTGTTGTACGCCAAATACTGTGCAATGAACTTGTAATAGAAACCTATATAAGACAGAGCTTACAGTTTAGTGGGAGAGGCCAATTTTTGTAGGGTTGATATCAATGCCTTTTGCTTACTCATAAAATTCAGTACTGAGTGAGGATCATCTGTGAGCTTATTTTAACCTTTCAGAAAGCTCCTCCTAGTTTCTTTTACTCTATCCCCTGAAACTCAAAAGATAATAAATCTAATAATTTATAGCATTTTATGTTGGTTCTAAAAATATCTTCTTCATATTTCAAGAGGCATGTCCTAGTCTTGTATTTGAAGTTACTGAACAAGTTGGCTCTATCTATGTTTTTAATGGTAACTGATATATTAAAAATAACAGCACATCTTACAGTTGTAGAGCAGCTTTCGAAGCATTCTCTCATTTGGCTCTCATGACAATCTAAAGTTGCATTATTTATAATTAAATCCACGGATAGTATTGAGAAGGTCTTATTATACAACAGATTTACAATCTCTGGAAAGACATCTCTTTCTTAATACGGTTTTGCTATGTGGGGAGATTAGTCACTCTCTTTTCTTTTAGACCAAAATTGTCTCATTGGCAGCATACAGTTTTTTAATAGGTTTGGTTGGTTCAAATAGTGTTGAAAAAATAAAAACCGCAGCTCCTAAATCTCATTAGTAGATGTTTCTTGAGCTAAACACGGTTGGCGGGGCCCTGGGTCCTGCTGTCTACTGTGAATGGCTGTTCTGTTTCCAGCTTAATACAGCCTGCAGCCGTCATAAATGCATACACATGAACTTTCTCCCACGCTTTCATCAACCCCTGGGCCATGACGGCCTCTGATTTTGTGGCCAGAGGAATCTCCTGAACAATAGACAAAACACCTCAGTAGTTTTTGTATCTTAGACAGTTTTAATGTCCTATAAATAGAAATTGTGGAACTGAACTACTTTATTTCAGTGAGGGAGGATAACAACCAGACAGAGACAATTCTTATGTTTGCTAAAATGACTTATTAAGTAACTTACATCATAAAAATAGCAAAAAGATGATTTATTGAAAAGCACCTGTAGTTTAGGGTCTTCGTGGAGCTGCGTTAACTTTTATTTTTAGGTTAAAAATAATCTGGCTCTGAAAATTCATTTTAACTTCATTTTCATTATACAAAACACATATCCATTTTATGTCCTAATCTAATTACTATATCTTTATTAATATATCTTTTTTAGGTCACTGAAATGATTCTGGAAATGTCTCTTGAAGTTTGGTAAGTGCATTTATTTAGTTTGATGAAAAACAGTGTGAGTGATCCGCTGATTTATTTTAATTGTTAAAGAATATATTTTAGATATATAAAATTATTCTGACAGCTTTGAATATATAGAAGTTTATTATATTTACTTTGCTTTTCTTTAGTTGTTAATAGCTATAAAATTAAAAAAATATTCTTATAGTCTAATATTCTTTGCTTAATTTTCTAGTAGTTTGGTGGTTAAATAATAGATGTCAGAATACGTGCTTTTTGAAAAGGCCCTCTATTTCCATAGAAATGAATGCAGTTATTTAAGCCTATTTTCCATTGTTGATTCAGGTAGATATTCAACAACATAAAAGTGAACATAAACAGGAAACTATAAGAATTTTTTTGTAGTGGAAAAACTGAAAATTGAGAGTGATTTTGTTCAGATCGACGAGCAGGACTACAAATGACGAGGTTCCATGAAGCATGTTGCTCTTTCAAAGTGGCTTCCAAAAATGAGTGTTGGGAAATCATTTACTTTTTTTCAAATGGTGAATCTTGGGAGAGGCAGATGTGCCTTGATCTCCCTGATCTCTGATCTGTCAATGAGTTAAGTAGATCCCACCTCCCTCAGCCTCACTGCCATCTCTTTATTTTAATTTTATGTTTTTAATTTTTTTTGTTAAAAGGGCTGGTGAACGCCTGCATATTTCGAGCCACTCACCTCTGCAAAGAGGTGGTTAGAACACTGTCGAAGGAACCGCTGAGCTAAAGCCAGCCCAACCGCCATCTCTTTAGACTTCCCTGTTGATGTCGAATTTACCAAAGTTACTACTACATATTTTATACAAAAACCAAACAAGTTAATTTAACATTTTCATACCTTGTGATTTGCCAAATATATGAAGATGGGTGCACTGGGTTTAGGTAGTTCTTGCTCTTATTTTGATCTCTGGAGTGTGTTGATTTGACTTAGTGATTGGAATAAATTTCCACAACCTCTCAATGTATGTCACCAAATATCACAGGTACAAGTTATTATGTTGCATTATTTTGCATTAAGTTGATCCTTCCTTAAATGTGGTATATTTTGGCATGAGATTAGAAATACTTTTATTTGACTGACTATGGAAGTAATTCTATTTGTTTAATGGGAAATAATCTTCACTGAGATAATTAGGATCATATTTTTATAGTATTAAAAACTCCTCTTTTATATGTTAATTTATGTC